GGTGTGCAATGCCTTCCAAACCTTCCAATGTGTCAGCCAAAGTTGCTTTTAGTTTGGTGATTATCCATAAGGTACACAAAACCATCCTCTAACAAATATCGCTTATCATCTAAAGGTGTGAGAGCTACTTTACACTGTTTCTCAGTGTATAATGTATTATTATGTGATTGAATGAGATGAAAAGAACAAGCAAAAGCTTTGGATGTGAAGAGACATGTTTTGTACATGTCATGTGTCAGCTTCCTTTTGATGACTGATTTCTTGATACCTTTGGCAGCCTTTTTTTCAACAATGCTCTTTGTGTCTTTTTGTGTCAGAAATGAATACATTTTACTTTTCAACCCCACAAACTCTAATATGATTTCTCCAGCAGCCTCATCTTTCATTTTACCAGTCACCTTTTTGTTGTGTTCTGAATACAACGGATCCTTGAGAGGATAATTGCTAGTATCAAATAAATGCAAATTGCGTTTCATGAATGTGTAGGGATCAAGCAAAGGTTCATGAGGAGGGGCATGGATGTGTAGAAAGAGACTGTCTGTGTCAGTCATGAGCAAGTCCAACCGTTCAGGTCCATATTGTTGTTGCATGACATCATAATAGAAAGAGAGAATTTCATAATTGGCTAGGTCTAAAATGGTAAAACCAACTGCAATAGGTTGATCTAAATGAACACTCACTTTGTTCATTTCTACTGCCACCACGTCCTTGGAAAATATGCTCACCTGTTTGAAATTTGTTTCTGCTGCATATTTGAGCAATTGAGTTCTTTTAGTCACTAAATGCATTGTTTTGTGTTTTCTTTTGTTCATGCAAAACCGTCCAAAGACACAATTGTTCATAAGTTTGTACGGTCTTTATTACAGACATCAGTTGCCTGTCTGCGTCTGTTCAAATTGAGTTAAATGTAAGGTTTCAACCATGGGGCTTGAGCAAACTTGAGCACTCTATGTATGTGTTGAAGGACTAAGCCATACCTCAAATACAACTGTAGGGTTTTGACATGCACCACATAGTTTAAACGATCTTTCAAAGTGGCAAACATTTTTTTCCCTGAAGCTTTTGGTTTTCTTTCTTTACCTGTTTTGGTAGGTGTTTGAAACTGGCTGAGTAACTCTTTGTGATAGTGAGAAAGGTCTTCGAAAGGAATATTGTCATGAGTGGGTGCCATAGGTAAGGCAGCGTGGTTTTCGTGCAAATAGGTGGGGTACAGCAGATCCACTTCTTAAATATAGCCTGTATCCCCTTGTACGTCCATGCTTGTCCAGTCAATGGTAGCATATTCACTAGGCTCCATGAACTGATACTGACCAAGAGGAAGGGGTTCTAGCATGACTGTTGCATACAAAGAATTCACATCATAATACATGAGATAAGAAGTCTCTTTGCATGGATCAAAATCAGACATGAATTCATTGTTGCTATGGGCATATTTTGTTCCTCCTCGAATAGAATATTCTATGAAATTGTAGGAATCTACATCAGTGAACAAATCCAGTTCGACACCTGTGACTTTCATAGCAGCATCGAGACAAAACCCAGGCATGCTATAATAGTGGCAGATGTCGGGACCATAATCTGTCAAACAGCCTGTTCGGAAAGCCTCAACAATGTCAGTCAACAACAAGACATCAACACATACATACAATCGTGTAAAATTACCCATGGTTTGACAATGAAAAGTATGCCACAACTCTTGAGCAAAAGCATAATCTTCATCATTGATGTCTTCATCAGAGAGTGTGCTGTAGAAAGCTTCTTTTGAAGGGAGTGAGGTTTCCTGTAAGGTGTACCATGAAGCCATGCGTTCATAAGGATAGGGAAGCTTTCGAGTCAACATACCTACATGGTGAGGAAACTCTTCTTTCAAATAGACAAAGGAATGAACACCTCTTTTCAGTTGGTTTTGGGTCAATGTATCTGGTGAACCTTGCAAAAATTTTAAAGAATCGAAAAAGTGAAGGATAGAAATTGTTCAGATTTATGAGGAATGACTTGAATGTCTCTCTTCCCAAAATTTTGGCCAGCTTCCAGAATCAAGTGTGTATCATACCGTTTACTATTGTGTAACATGATTTTGACCTTTTTTCTCAATTGGAAATTGCACTTGTTATGCAAGACATGTCTAAATGCCCCACTCAAGTGATCATGATCTAACACCCTGTCTTTCCCTAAAACACCTCTACATATCCCAAAATGAGTAGTGTTTGCTATCTGTAGTCGGTCCTGTTGTGTTAATTGCATAGATTTAACAGAGTCAAATAAAGTCATAATCTCATGATACTCTTTCAGAATGTGTTCTATAAAGTGTTCAGATGCTTCTTTACCTACATAAGATTGTATGGGTTTGGAATATTGTTCATCTGAGCACACCACTTTGTAAGCATAAGCAGAAGGCACATGTTTATTCATACGCATAGCATGATTGTCCTCTGGTATCAATAAACTTTCAAAATCAGCCACAATGAGGAATTTAGCTCTTTCTGTTTTTGATTGCAAGCGCAAACCAAACTGATACAGGGCTTCCTCAGGTTTTGGTAAGATGGCTGTTTGACATTTTTCAAAGCAGTAAGTCTTGTGCGCTTGCAAACTTGTCATATTAGAACAGTGGTGAAGACACCTTTTGCAAATATACACAAGATAATCATGAGTTTTGGTTCTGACCAGACGATTCAAATTTGTGATTAAACAGTAATGAGTGTCTGGTGTCTTATCAAGTTCCATATCTTCATCACCTTCCATACCTAAGATACCTTCAAAATCTTCAGGTTCATTTTCTTGTGAAAGTAACAACATATCTATCTGTCTACGTTCGTCTATATCATGCACATTGCTGATGAGTAGTGGAAACAAAGTGTTATCTTCGTATCCATACACGTTAATGGACAATCAGTTGACTTCTTCAAAGTGTGGGATTTGTTTCAAAGTCATAGGAAAGGTAAAGCCTTCTAATTGAAGCCGATTGACATAAGGCTCATAATGGGTGACCCTCTCTTTATTGCGGTTTGCTGGATAGAGTTTGGCTAACACAGAGTACAGGAAACACAATTCATCTTCATTTTTGATGTAGATGATACTTCTGGTTTTATATGCAAGACCTTTCGGTAGTGGAATGTAACTCCCACCTTTGAAAGGTTTGAATTGTGTAAGGGTTAGTTTCATCAACACGATTTCTGCTATATTCAAATTGGAATGTTCTCCTTCATACTCGTCTATTGTGGTAAGTATTTGATGCATAGCTTTCAGGTACTGCTCAATCAAGTACTTTGTGTGTTCTATGATCTGTCCGATCTGAAACTTTCTGGCGAACAGAACAACTCTGTGACATCATGTCTTCACCAGTGTACACTACCCAATTTGCTCACAAGAACTACTTGACTATCAACGTTTCCAATGGTCAAGTCTATGCTCATCTAATGAACTGGAATGCCAAAGGGGAGAAAAAGTCTGTCTCCTTGAAGGCGGGGGTCTTTCGGAAGCTGCTGGATGAGAGAGACTTATACATTCAGCAAATGGAAGATATGGAACTTGAGATGGAACTACCTGACACCCCACCTGTTCCAGAGGTGACTGTTAACAACTACAATGCAGGTGTTGGAAATGTTGGAGGGATGCTTCCCCCCTCCACCGTCCCATACCCTCTGGTAACAACACCTACAATGATGAGAGTAGGTGCGAGTGGAGCAGCGGGGAGCACTGCTGGTGGTAGAGTCAACCGATCCACACCCTATGCACGTGTTGGTAAGTATCCTATTATCATAAACTACAATTGTAGAAGTATTACTTTTATCACAATTACATCTAAAACTTATTTAGGACATAATTCATTTGTGTGAGGTTTATGAAGAACACTGCTATGAAGTTATTATATTTAAACTAAAATCTTTCTTTGAGGAAAGAGATTTTTCAAAGTAAATTATTTTATTATAATTAAATAAATAGTTTTGATGTTTATAAAATTGTTTATCAAAACTAAAACCTTTTCTAGGAAATAGTTTTAAAAGTTATTATTGTAATAGTGTTTGGTTAAAACTTAAAATCAATATTATTACAACTTCTGTAGAAATATTATGCTATCATAATTATTTTTATAATAAATAAATCTATTTTTGAGATAAAAGATTTTTCAAAGTAAATTATTTTATCATAATTATTTTTATCATAATTAAATCTAAAAGTTATTTGAGAATTTTTTTTTGAAGTTTATAAAATATAAAAGTTTACCACATTTAAAACTTTTCTAGGAAATACTTTTAAAAATTATTATTGTAATAGTATTTGGTTAAAACTTGAGAGTAATACAATTACTGTAGAAATATTATTCTATCATGATTGTTTTTATAATAATTAAGTTATTTAAGAAATAGTATTTGAAGTTTATAAAATTGTTTGAAATATTTAGGAAATAATTTTGTGGAAAATTTACCACAATTATCTTAGTGTCAAATATAAGTGAGTTTGTGTTTACATAAGCTTTTGAAGTTATTTATTTCAAATCTGTATTTTTCTTTCAGATACACCACGCAAACAGTAATTCGATGGTGCCAGCAGCCAATTGGAGGATGTATCCATTCATTATGTGTACCCGCCCCCATGTTCCATGAATAAAATTGTCATGAATAAAATTGTTATATGTTATGTTGTGAAATGAACGGTCTAAGGGAGGTCACTCACGAGTAACCTCCCTTAGACAGTATGTTATATGTTATTGCTGTGCAAAGAGAGGCTTCTCGTGTGCAACGTCGTGTGAAACAAAGTCATGTCGACACGAGTACTCCCCGTAGTGTATCGTACCTAATGTGCTTCCTAGTTATCTCCATTCCATCCGCACATATCTTGGTTATTATGTGAAAGCGTAAGTTAAAGAAAGTTTTTTCGAAAATATTATTATTTTGAAGATGCAGGACACTGCGAAAGACATAGACTTTCTTTGACTTTTACTTTTACACAAGAGTAGACTTTAAAGACAACAACAAAAACAAAACATTGTGGATTCAGGTTTATTTCACGTTACAAAATCAAGAAATATGTGCTTAGTGTCAATGTACATATGATGTCCATACGACCTATGGTCTAGAGAGCACTCTCATCAACCATCTCCAATACCGGAGGATGCCCCCAGTCTCATCATGCGCCTTTCACTTCGAAGATGTGAACATTTTGGTGTGCATGGCAGCGATCGTCTGGGTGTTACGTTGGATGGTGTGGATGGAGGCTCGCCAGATGATACAGATGGTGGTTCGTCGGATGATGTGGATGGTAGCTCGTCGGATCGTGCAGATGGTGGCGCATCGGATGGAGCGGACATACTGATAGCTTTGTGTCTTCTACGATATAAAATGCAGACGGGGAAGCACAACATCATCATCAGCATCAAAACCAATTTTGTAGTTACTTTTCCTGAAATGCACAATTTTTAGATAAAATAGTTCATAAGTTACTTTTACTGCATGAATGCAAAAAAAAATTAGATAAAATTTAGTTCATAAGTGACATGATATTTTGTATATGTCACTCAACATCATATAATTAGTTACTTTTCCTAAATAAATGCAAATCTTTTTTTAGTTCATAAATTAGTTACATGATATTGTGAATATATCACTCAACATCATCATTGATTAAAAATAAACTCACCATCAAGATCATCATCGCCATCAAGATCATCATCATCATCATCATCGTCATCGTCGTCATCATCGTCATAGGTGTTGTTGCGGTCGTAGTCATTAGGGAGGCGTGCTAAAAAGGTGTTGGGAAGAGGTTGGGTGTTGTGTGAAGAGGGGGGTTACTTATAAATGATACTGACATCTATCTACATTAAATTTACATTAAATGATTTTAACTAAGATGATCTACATTTGTGTGATCATCTGTTCCATTTCATAGGTATTATTGAGAGGTGAAACGTTTTTATTCTTTCTTATTTGATATATAAAACAACCCATTAATAAAACACAAAAACCAATAGGAATAATAACTATATCTGCAATAACGCTGCTTGATGTGGTTACTATGGTGTCGGAAGTAATAGTTGATGCAGTTGTAGAAGTTGAATTAGAAGTGAGCGGTGCAGTTGAGATAGAAGTTGAATTAGAAGTGAACGTTGTTGAGAGAGTCGGTGTATGAACTGTCGTATGTGTTAATGCGAGAGGTAAAATAGCAGATGCGACGACGTAGGAAGTGGGGAGTGAGCACAGTTGAGATTGAAGTTGGGATAGAAGTGAGCGTTGTAGAGTGAGTCGGTGTATGAGCTGTCGTATGTGTTGGTGCATGTGGTAAAATAGTAGAAGCGACAGTGTTGGAAGTGGAAAGCATATGCGGAGTAGAGCGAGATGTGTAGGAAGTCGGAGAATAGGTTACTGATATTATAGGTAACATTGTGGTAGTAGTAGAAGCGTCTAAGTTAGTGTTATTTATTCCTGAAACCAGAAAAAAAATATGTAAAAAATGTTAGTCAACAACTTAGAGTGAAATCAACATAAAACAAAACTGGATGAATTATTAGGTTTCCAATAGTAACGAGACAGAAAATGAGTCGTACGTAAAATCTACTTCCAGGTCTCATGTAGTAAGATACATGGCAGAAAGCATGGTGCAACTAAGTCAAATTTCTTCCGAAGTTTTCACTAGAAAGTGTAAGATAAGTTTTTCTATAGACAGCTACATAACCTTCCATGACACATGAGCCCGTTCACCAAGATGTTGAAATCAGCATACAGTGTTTCGCATGTTATGTCATGTCCTATGATTTTCTGAAATAAAATAATAAACAATTTATAATAATCAATTTGCATGAAGGAATGTATGAATGATATTAGATAAGTTAAAAATGAATGAAGCAGATAACATACCTTCAACTCTGGGAAATATTCCTTCTCCAGCACAACCGAGACCCCTGAGAGGGTATGTAACACCACGTCTTTCAAAATGTATTTATTTGATACCACGTTTTTAATCGTAGAATGTGTGTTGTTTTAATGTTCAGCTAATTGTGTCAGCCATCGCCAACACCTGAAGGGATGGTGTAAATCCTGCTGGGGTCCATGCAGGTAGCAAAAGTATTGTAAGTCCCCATGGTCCCCAGTGAGGTGATCTATCTTCAGTTGCTGGCGATCTATAGCCTTTTTTTATATTGTATCGTTAGGTATAGTGACATCTTTTTATGGTTGTATACTAGTTTTAAATAATATTCTGTGATCATCTAGGTATTTTACTGTCCTTTGTTGACAGGCCGTTATTGTTTAAATATATATATTATGTATAACTTTTGGTAGTCACGATATGGCTGAAATACTGCCGATGTGACTATAAATTTTAACTCACACACTCACTCACAACCGAGACCGGGGACCCTCGAACGAACATAACGGAAACGGTGCGATATACGCCGACTCGGGTGTGCTGGAGAGGTGTTTGTCCCGTTGTGCAAATAAGTGTGCTGGACTTTTGATGACATGGGAAAGTTGTCCCCGAACCGAGAGATAGCATGGATATGCAAACTATAAGGGTAAACATGGTTGGCGATGTTTACAGTTCGGAGACAGATCTTTAATGAATAACAGACATTACACTAAATAATATGGGGTATAGAACAACAAGTAAAGATTGCTGCAGAGCATCAATTGTTCCCCGCAATATAATGCTATGTGCAGAGCAAGGAAGTGTAAGCTATGGGAGGAGAGAATTCGTGTTAAGTACAAATTGGTTGTTATTAATGTAGTTACATTTGGAAAGCACAATAAAAGAAACAGTGTCTTTAAATGGTCAGCACAAGGAAAACCCAGGCACGAAAACTGGGCCTGTCAGGCAGAACTTGATATATATCCACTATAGGTACCAATAAAAAAATAATTGATTCCAAGTCCTATATAGATGACACAACAACAAAATTTAATGTCATTCTAAAATATGCTTCTGTCGCAAATATCAATATTTCTGGTCAAAATGTTGGTTGGGATAAATAAAACAAACTGTTTAAATAGTAAACACAAAAATTGTAGTAAATCCACTGTAAATAAAACCTCAGTTTAAATGTAAAAATTCACGTATTCATTAATGGATTCCCATTCATCTGGTAGCATGTTAAAGGGCAAGTTCACACGGAAATTAACCTAATTTTCTTGTACTTTTTCCACAATAAAAGTGTTAACCTAGAAGTGTCATAGACAAAAAAATAAAAATATCACAAGTAATTAACATATGTTTTGCATTAAAACGATTTATATTTTTCACATTTACCAAGTGTTCTATTTCCATAACAAAAACACCATGGATTATGCCCCTTGCAATATGACGTCATTGGTGCCAATTGATAAACATTATGACGGATGTTAGATCCGCTTCACGTGGTGTAGGTACAGGTGTGTGATTCTAGCGTCTCAGATGCCAGCCAGCATAGTGTTATGCTGAGTCACCACTGCGCCGGAGTGTGTCGTAGGCCATGTTGTTTTACCGAAAACTTGTACTTGATATCTTTTGCGTTCAGAATAGACAGGGGCCCAGTTGAATTGGCACCAATTACGTCATAATCTAAGGGGGATAACTCAGGCCTGTTTAGCTCGAAAAACGAAGGCCTCATAACGGCATATCATTTTCACACTATTGTGAGCTTCCTACTTTCACTGTGAAAAAAATGAGTGTATATTTTCAAACACAGATACTAACTAACTCTAAAATTGCGTTTTGTTTAGAAAAAGAAAGAAAGTGATTTTTGCGTGTACACTTCCCCTTTAAGAACACCCAGTTTGGTCAAGACATCTATAAATATTGAGAAATATCTTACATATTGTAAAAACAAAGGTCATAGGTCACTTTTCTCAAAACTTGGTTTAAGTAATCACAAACTCAAAATTGAAAATTGGTAGATATACAAAAACACCAACCCATTGAATCAACGTTTCTGTGAAACATGTGATGTCTCAGAAGATGAACAACACTACGCACTGTCTTACATAATACAACCAAGATAGAGAATGACAATTCTCAATCATGATAGAGAATTTGGTACACTCTGTTAAAAGGAACAGTTCTTAATAATTTTACCAACAGTTATCCAGAAACAACTTCCAAGATCTGTTATCATATCAACAATAACAAACAAATTCCTTGTATGTACAACATTACCATAGTTTTGCTCAATTCTCATATTGTTTTCATATTATTCTAATACCCTTGTTTTGAAATAAAATTGTTATAATGTACCTCCTTTGTGTGTTGAATGTACCTGTGTTTTATATTTGTCGTTTATTGTGCATGTATTTTGTAGTTTGTGATAGTGTAATATTGCCACTGTTTCTTCATGGAATGTTACGCAATACATATCTCATCTAAAACATCTTTGTTGCGTACGGGGGCACGGTTGGCCCAGTCGCCGAAGGCGCTGCAATTCGCTATGCAGTGTTGTCTCCCTTGGGCACGCCAGAAACCTATGACAGTGTGTTTGAATCCCGGATCGCCCTGATTTTGTTGTCAGCACAAAACCCTTGCTCGTTGGCTTCACCAAAGTGGTGAACGTCTAAAACCTGCATCACTTCGGAATTCCCCCCTACATCAAGCTGACACGGAATACTATTCAAAATGGCGTTAAACCCAACTCACTCACTCACTCCTGTGTACGGTTCCGTTTGGTTAACTGGGTTTGTGTTGTGATTGCTTCAAGTTTAGATTTGAAGTATGTTTAGAAGAATGTTACTATGTTCAACCCAAACATCGTGAATATATCATGCAACCGTATAATCTTTTTGGAAAATAATTGCTAACTACAGCCCAACCTATGTATCCAGAAGCAAAGAACGTATACGGGTGTACAATCTCTGCCGGAAGTTAAAAATACTGTCAAAGCAATAAACCATGCAGAGCCGTAAACTGACTCATGAACCGGTATGAATCATACATTACATACAGTGAAGTATTTGAAACAATACTGTGCTCAACTATGCACAGCAAGCCCCATACATGCGATTATTAAGACAGCTAATTTCTCATATCAAACCCGTTGTTTTACATGTGTTGTTCATTAAAAAGTCATACTTTATAGAAACCTGGTATTTTAATCGTGTTTGAACAATATATTGCAATAGCAATGTGTAGTTGAAAGATGGAGTGCGCGTGACTATGGTGGCCGAGAGGGGACATCGCTTTCTCGCTCTATCGCTTTCTCGCTCTATCGCTTTATCGCTTTCTCGCTCTATCGCTTTCTCGCTTTATCGCTCTATCGCTTTCTCGCGGTATAGTAATATTCCCTCTTGGCCACGATATTGGTCGCATGCGTTGTGTTTCTTTACGATAAATAGTATATACGTAAAGCAACATTAATGAATTGTTAAACCTGACCTCAGTGTGTGTGTGTGTGCGCGCGCGGGGGGGGGGGGGGGGGGGGGGGGGCGCTGATGTGGGTTTTAATCATAAAAGAGAACTGAGATTTATCCAGTCGCATTTCAAATTCTACTTAAGGACGGAGTGTTGAAATTTTCTCACTATCTACTTAAATATGATTTGACAGTACAGACATATGTGCTTTTATAACAATCCAGGTATTTCTGCGTAAAAACAGAATTTGATTGATTTATGGTCCTATTTAGCTACTGCTTCCCCCGCCCCCTGGCCAAGTTATCAAAACAAATAGCAAATAACACCGCTCAATAGCGCTGAGTAGTAGGTAGTTCCTAAAAAGCAATAGTGTTTTCCTAAAAACAACGCTTATATCATTGTTTATTCTGTTTGCGGGTGTAGATGTCATCAAAGTGGAAGTTCTCACCCAAGCAATGGTAATACTACCGGATGTCCATTATGTAATTTCTAGTTTTTGGATGACATATTGTTCTCAGTAACCGTAATGTGGAAAGAGATAGTTGATTGGTTTTATATTCAAGTTGGTATTTCCGCTATTCAAAGTGTTCAGTGAGGCCGTCTTATCAACAGTCATTTCTGAGACATAATGCAAAGTATATACTACCGTATTCGACGTAATAAGCGCCGCGCTCTAATAAACGCACACGGCGATATTTGCTAATATATTGGCTAGTGAACAATCCCAATTAGCACCCCTTTCGATTGATTAATGTATTCAAGACTTATTTATTCGCGTATAATACGCACTCGTGGGTTATATGCACACTTAATTATGGGCAATTAAATTCGGGAAAAATATATCTTTCGTACATAAACGTTTCAGGCTGTCAGCATTAACCACGAAACTTATCTTTCAACTCAACTTTTTTTTCCACCAAAATAATATTCTTACTTTGAGAGCGCCCTGGGGGCTTATTACGTCCGAATATGGTAATTATGTCTACGCTTAACTTTAACGTTAATTTCAAGATTTACAGTACATACTATTCAAAAACAGTTAAAGAACACCCGATTCCTTCATATGACTATAGTTAGTCATTAGAAGAAGCGATAGAGCGAGAAAGCGAGAAAGCGATAGAGCGAGAAAGCGATAAGCGGGAAAGCGATAGAGCGAGAGAGCGAATAAAGCGAGAAAGCGATAGAGCGAGAAAGCGAGAAAGCGATGTCCCCTCTCGGCCACCATACGTGACAGGTTTGACCTAAATTCCTGCCCGGGACGTTTCTCGATGGCTTCCTGAATAACATACGATAAATTGCAAAGGCAGTGCACAATAGAGCTGTTCGGGTCAGGGAGATGATCACTCACTGTCATGATCAGTGATACAGCTTGAATAAGATACAATGACCAGCATTGCAAGGTCAGTGAGTGATAAAGGTCTATACTACGCCTATAGCTAAAGGAGATAATCGCTCAATGCGCAATAGTTTATTCTTACAAAATATAGACCGGTTAACTTTAGCGAAATGAGATATGTATTTCCCTAAACCTGTTTAGCTCTTTTAAAACAAAATGAACAAATTTCATGGGTTATCTGCATTACGAAACTTTCGGAATAGCAAGACGGATTTTAGAAGTATCTCTTATTGCTGAGAAAGATAGCCTCAACATTTCACGCACATTATTTGTATATTTCGTTTCGGTAACTGCATGGCTTGAAATTTCAATTGAAACCAACATATCGACATACTGCTACAAAATTAACGGTTCCCGTATACTACCCGCCTTCAGGGCGGGGAAGAATGATATGATTATATAAAAACAGTGACACCAATACCTAAACCACGCCTACAATTAAGATTGATGAGATTGTGTATGTGAGGGTACGCACGGTGTCTAGCCGGGAGAGCCACATTTCAGAAATGGCTATTGCCGGTAGAGCCACATTTCAGCTGAGTGCATTTCACCTTAATTAATTAATCCGATTACCGATACCTTTAAATGAGTGTCCCACATTTAAATTACTAGCGTGGTGTTCTTTAGAATACCTTTAAATGAGTGTCCCACATTTAAATTACCAAGCGTGGTGTACTTACTTACTTACTTATATTGGAGATTAACGTGCGCTTTCCGACTGCAAGCGTATGTCGCACACGGGCCCGTACCAGGCCATTTAATGTGTTTCCAAAAAAGGGGAAAGTGAGTTTGTGCAACCCAGGAGGGGGGCTTTAGGGGTTGCTTACATAGTAATTTTGAAATTTGGAAAGAATGCCAAGAGTGGGTGGGGGGACGAACTAAGGGAGCTGTGTGTGTTGGGTGGTTGTTAGATAAGGTAGTTTTGGTTTTAATATTTTATTTGGGGTTTAAATGCGACTAATTAGTCCTGTTTTAATTAGGTATATGCCTAAGGCTTTGAATTTTTCTAATTTATTTTGTGGTTTTAGGATTGAAATTAGTGTAAGTCCCGTTTTAAGAGTTAGGGTGGTCTGTAGTGTTAACGTTGTTCGGTGTGTTTGGTAGTGTGTGCAGTGAATGAGTACGTGTTCTGGTGTTTCGTGTTGTTTGCAATGCGGGCAGTTTCCTGTTGTGTGTAGATTAGCTATTTTACGGTGATTATTTAGTTTGGTGTGGCCTGTTTGTAGTTTAGTAATTATTCTAGGTCTAGAGTTTACCACTTACAATTCAGTTGGACTTTGAACGTGCAGCTCACAATGCCGTGACTGATGTTTTTCCTGGGACATTAGTTAGAGGGTGTTTCTTTCACTTCACCCAATGTATCTGGAGGAGGGTACAGAAAGAAGGTCTGGTGATGGACTATAAGGAAGATGAGGAGGTGAAGAGCTGCTGCCCTCCCTCTAGTACCTCGTGACAAAGTGGATGATGTGTGGCTTGATGCCATCGCTGACTCTCCTGCTGGCCCTAAAGTGACTGCCTTCATGGACTACGTGACAACCAGTTGGGTTCAAGGAGGGGCCTTGGGGATTTGGAACCATTTCGAAAACCAAGGCCACCGTACCAACAATCACCTGGAAGGGTGGCACAACAAGATAAAGAAACTTGCCAAGAAGTGCCACATGGAATATGCTGACCACGTGGGCGACCCCCTTTCTTCTGCAGTAATGACATTAAATCCATTATGCTATTCATATGCTATTCATATGCTATTCATATTCATCGATGTAAAGTTTTGATGAATATGTTACTGTTATCCTTGTTGAATAAAAAATGAGAAAACAAGACTTGTTTTGTTATATACGGTAACCTGTTAGAATCACAAAGCATGTTTTGACAGCATAGCCGCGAGAGCCACATTATACAATCACGCAACCATAACCATTGCCGCGAGAGCCACATCAATTTGGGCTATCTATTTTCGAAAAGTGGCTTTGCCGGCCTGTAACCGAGGGTACGCACGTACCTGCATGCAAGTGAAATAATCAGGTCAGGTTTGTTCTATTTCTAGAATAACAAGAAACAATTACCGTGAAATATTAAAAAAAGAAGAAGAGGAAATGAGAATATGAATTTTATTTGAGAAATGTATATTTTTTACAATACCAAAATAAACATACTATGCAATGGTTAAATATCTAATTTACGAAATAGGTAGCGACTATGTAAACAAAGAACAATATAAGACTTCCATTAATCATTTTACACTTTTACCCTTTACGGTATCTACCATTATTCAGAAGCTGTCAGATGTAATACATGTTCGTATTATGTAGCAATTGTTTCACGTGATGATGCAGAATGATATCATTATGATAAGTTAATTGATAGCGACGTACATATGTCAAATGATAAGTGCGGTATATATCAAGCTATACCGCACGTACAATACACCCCCACTCCCCCCCCCCCCCCCCCCCCCCCCACACACACACACACACAAAAGCTTAATGTCATGTATGTAAATTAACATATTTAAAGATGTGTTTAATTTACATTATGATAATAAAGTCTTAAAAATATAAGATACTTACCTCCTTATAGCAACACCATTCTTAATATTTACGTTTCAAGATTGTACCGAAGTACGATAGCTAGACTTGCTTTAATGTCGGTCTTTTCAAACTATGCGATAACTGTAGGAAGTCTAACATCATAAACAGTCAATACTTTGACCGAGCTATCAAGTTCGAACATTCATGTTTCAAAAATACGTCCTCGTGAGAAAAGGGCGAGGTTCTTGTAAAATTAAAACGATATTTTTTCTTTGTTGCGGCCATATATGTGAGAGACTTGTATTTCCAACGTGAATATGTTGCGGGTTAAATCAGTACTTTTTATTCTTTTGCTATTGAAAACCATATGAAAAAAGGTTCAGGGTTCATTGATTAATGAAAGAGAGAGAGTAGTCGCCTTGTAACGCCTCATATTCATGACTACTTTTAAACCCTGATTGATGAAAGAGAGAGAGTAGTCGCCTTGTAACGCCTCACATTCATGACTACTTTTAGTATCTCCTGTTGCCGTTTGGAGGTGATTCGATAAAGTCACGATGATAAACAATTTTTGTAGATATTAATTATGTTTCAACTGTTGAGGAGATTAGGGTGGGACTTAGTCACATGAAAACTCCAGGGTTAAGGGATGACAGTGCAATATTTTTGCTTTTCTTTTAATATGGATAAATCGGATTTAATACATTCTCTTGGTTTAAAAGGTGTTGCGGATACTACAGAAAAAAATAGCAAATTGGAAATTTTGTGTGTTAAGAAAATCAATGTTGTGGAAAATCAACTTTAAATTTGTTAAATGATTATAACATAAGACACAACCTTATACAAAATCGGATGGAAAAACAGGCTATATTACATGATATTCTAACCTGTAAAACATTCTTGGACAAACAGAAACACATTCGGTGTTGTGTGAACATTAAAACACTAAATATTAGTGATTATCAAAAACATAATATCAGTGTGCAAGATATCATTGTTGGATTATGCAAACCGTGTATTGTGATTCTGTAGCGGGTGAGTATTAATTTATATGTCTCCTGCGATAATAGACGATATGAGAGAGTAGGATTTACTCTCTAACTCCCCTCCTCTGAAAAGGGGATATATAGTCTAATTTCCTCCCTTGGAGACCGCCTCCGTGGTCTTGTGGTAGAGCGTCCGCCCGGAGAGCGGAAGGTCCAGGGTTCGATCCCGGGCCGCGTCATACAAAAAGACGTTAAAAGATGGTACTTGTTGTTACCATGTCTGGCGCTCGGCATTAAGGGGCTAAAACAAGGACTGGTCGGCTCGGAGTCAGCATACTGTGTCTGAGTGGGGTATTCATGTTAAACTGCGGCATGGTATCTCAGTGAGCTAGCACTATAAATCAGCATCAGTCCGGACTAGTACAAGCAGCCACACACACACATACACGTGCATGAATGTCGCTATATAAGTGCAATAATGTTGGACGCGACGTTAAACCTAATTTCACCTCACCTCCTCCCTTGGAAAAAGGACTATATAACTTCTTTTCCGATGAGGAGGCTAGGGAGGGGAAATTCCACTCTCTTACACAGGCTAACATCTAGACAATAAGCTCTCAAAAGTTCGCTCTCTTGAACAATATTTCTGTATCAGTTGAATTTTGTAAGTGATATCATTTTAAAACATATTCCAAGCGAATTATTTACCTTAAACCATGAAATTTATGTTCTGTTAGTTCTTAGTGTATATCGTTGAAATCCATCAATCCATCAATACACATACCTCATAAGTGAGTGCTCTACCATCGGACTGAATGAATTTAGTCTGTATCGTCAGTGTCACTGTCCGTTAGTATGTTAACATTTACTTGTGTGGAATGTGAATGAAAAGGATATCTACTTTGATATAATAAAATGTCGATCGATGGTTCTAATTTTCGACAAAAGTATTCGTAAATTTCGTCTAAAAAGTTAATTGTATCGAACACGTCCCATTTTAATTCTGGAAACCCAAAAGTCCAGAAACTCTACGGTCTTTTCCCAGTCTCGGTCAAAGGTATTTACAAAAATAAGCATGCTGTTTTCATGGGAACATACTAAGGAAGAAAAAAAATGAAAAAAAAAAGTTAAAAAACTCAATATTTACACCAGTGTGGCCCATGGGCCTGCCCATGGGCGAAGATTGTATATCAACGAAAATATGTAATACATGTATCCACAAAAAAAATATGCATATACAGGATAGGTATTTGCCCACAGCAACACCTGCATAACTGTTTATTCGCGCGTGGTGTGGTAGATCGTAATTGACCGAGAGCAGGTATTGTAGAATAACCTGTAAATAATACCGACACTGTAATTAGATACAACGTACTAATGAGAATATGGGAATTATCATAAGAAGGCTGTTGTCTTTTTCTGAACTGTTACCATTTTCATACCAAAAGTGACAATGCATTTAAAAGTTGCTTTAGTGTCATAATATTCACTCAATCGCCTGTAAACATCGCACCGCATATAATGAAATAATTATTTCGAGATTTCGTTAGAATGTGAGATATTCAGTTAGACGTTTTGCAATAAAAGACGAATCGGTTTTTTTCCAAATAAATACGCGCACGTGTACCTGTATATTGCATATCTATTGTCACTTAATTTCCCAGTGTGATGTATTAACGGGACATAAAATGGGAAGTGAAAAAGAAACAAACTAAACTTTATTTCGTTGAAAAATAACGCCAATGAATTGGTGTACACGCGCATGAATTTGTATGATAAACTGTCAAAACGTTTTGAGAGATAAGGCCGGGTTCATTAAAGATCGTTGCACTATGTAAAAAAGGTGAAATTTGTAAAACTTCTGCAAAGGAAACATCCAACCAAAGGCCCTTTTAAAATAGTAATGTAATTATAAATACAAAGTGTGTTTCACATGATACAATATACTTTGTAAACAATTAGTTAATTCTTTAAAGGGACTGACGAAAACATGGGCGAAATATTTTAATAACGCCAAAAATGAGTTGAATTAAGTTAAAATGAGTTAAATTTTGTGTATGATGCCTGAAGGAATACATTATGTATTTGCGAAACAAAAACATGTGTTTTCTGTAAAGAAAAATAATTTTTGCCCATGGGCCAAGCCTTTTTCTCGCCCATGGGCGACCTATTTCAATGTCGCTATAAAATCGTTGAATTAAGTTAAAATGAGTTAAATGTTGTGTATGATACTTGATGGAATACAAGTTAAGTATTTGCGAAACAAAAACATTAGGTTTGTGTAAAGGAAAATATTCTCGCCCATGGGCCAAGCCTTTTGCTCGCCCATGGGCGAAATATTTCAATATCGCTATAAAATCGTTGAATTAAGTTCAAATGAGTTAAATTTTGTGTCATGATACGTGAATGAATGCATTAAAATATATTTGCGAAACAAACACATAAGTTTTGTGTAATGGAAAATATTCTCGCCCATGGGCCAAACCTTTTTCTCGCCCATGGGCGAACTATTTCAATATCGCTATAAAATCGTTGATTTAAGTTAAAATGAGTTAAATATTGTGTATGAAACTTGATGGAATACAAGTTAAGTATTTGCGAAACAAAAACATGAGTTTTGAGTAAAGGAAAATATTCTCGCCCAAGGGCGAGATTGTGTAAATTTTTTTTTTTAAAAAAGTTTTTTACCTTTTTTTAAAATTTTTTCTTCTTAAGTATGTTCCCATGAAAACAGCATGCTTATTTTTGTAAATACCTTTGACAGAGACTGGGAAAAGACCGTAGAGTTTCTGGACTTTTGGGTTTCCAGAATTAAAATGGGACGTGTTATCGTCTTCAAATTGAGAAATAATTGAGATTTTAAGTGTACGGATGAAATTAGCTAATTCTTCGATTGTAGTTAATTCTTGAACGAGTGAACAAAAATGATAATTGCATACAATTATAACAGAAAACTGTGGAACGAAATCGGATGCGTTGGTTTAAAATTTAATAGAAAGAGTCACGTTTTCATTCATTTGAAGATAGGGATAGAAGTTTACCTCACTCATGTTAGTGTGTTAACGTCATTATGTTGTAGATATTCGAGTTCTGTCCGTCTCCACTTGCTGTGTGAAACTTGTGAGCATTGAGGATTGAAGTCTGTCATGCTCTACTGAAGGCGAAGTATGTGAGGGGTGAAGACTGTCATGCTTAACTTGTTCTTTTGAGACTTGTTCTTTGAGGTTTGTGAACATTACAACCTATAATGCTCCACTTTCTCGTTGTGATTGCTGAGGATTGTTATTGCTTGAGAGGATTTAATATTGAGGATGGAGGATTGTTTTCCTGTGAGGATTCGAGATCGAGGATTGAGGATTGTTTTCCTATGAGGATTTAAGATCGAGGATTGAGGATTGTTTAGTGTGAGGATTCAAGATTGAGGATTGTTTTAGTGTGAGGATTGCATTGTTCACAGTGAGGATTCGAGATCGAGGATTGTGGATTGTTTTCCTATGAGGATTTATGATCGAGGATTGAGGATGTTTTAGTGTGAGGATTCCATTGTTTATGAGTGAGGATTCCATTGTCTGTGCTGAACTGGAGGTTTTTACCCTACTAATGTCGTAGCCCTGATCAAACAACTTTTGAGCAAGTATCGTAAATATAAAATGTCATCGCCAGAGAATAACTTAGCTTCGATCATCTACTGAAATGGGCCACTTTAAGAATGAATGGCAAAATAGTGGTTAAATCATTTTAATGGATGATTTAGAATCAGTGATGCCACCAGGGGTTTCCAAAAAAGGGAAAGCATGCCCTGTCTAATCGGTCCAATCACTCGACGCTATTTGAAATCTTTGAAATCAAAGTTAACCCTTCCTTCTTTCTCGCAGAGGAATGGACTTATGACAGAACAAGTAAGCATATACGCTACTTAAGACTTGGGTACCCTCTTTCTAAACCCGATACCAAATATTATTTCATATATTGGACTTTTATAGTCAGTTAACGCTCTTGCCTCGGGAAGATGGGAAGAGACGGGACACGAGAGATGATCACTCACTGATTGTGACAACATAACTAAAACCTTTGTATTAAGCGTAATTATTTATTGTGGCGGATATCACTTACTCTAACATGATAAATCCAAGTAAACTGTGTAACTTCTTCAGCATAGAAAAGGTGTTATGTCAAGAAACTGTCAACAATGTGCACTCCCATACAGAGTAAGTTGTAATCCCACCAAACCCATAATACGTAGGGGCACGGATGGCCCAGTAGTCGCAATTGGCTGTGGGCAGTTGCGTCCCTTGGGCATGCCAGAATCCTATGACGGTGGGTTCGAATCCCGGTTCGTCTCGGTTATGTTTCTAGGTCTGGCAGCACCTTACCCGTGCTCGTGGGTTTCACCTGTGGTGAACAGCTGAGACCTGCATCACTTCGGGATTTCCTCCCACATTAAGCTGACACGCCGTCATACAACCGGCATACTGTTGACAAGGCGTTAGTCCGCTGAAGATTCCGGGTTCGAATTTGCCTTCAGCAACCCATGTTTTCGTAAGAGGCGACTTAAAGGATCGGGTGGTAAGTATGTTGATTCATGTCATTGTATCCCAATTGCGATCGATGCTCATGATGTCAATCACTGGATTGTCTGGTGCAGACTCGAATATATACAGACCGCCATCATACAGCAGCATTATTGCTGAGTGCGGCGTTAAACAACAACAAACAAATCATCCAACCAACATTGTAACAGTGGGCGCTGATGAAATCAAGAAAGGAGAGAGACAAGTACTTCGTATTAAGACTCTTTAGAAAGATGACATAACCCCCCGGCAGCTGTCTGTAAAGTTACCACAAGTAAATGAGCAATTCTGTATGTAATGAGTCAACAGTTGAATGTTCTTGAAGAAGCATACATTGTTTACCCACAAAAGATCCACCATGGTCGCATCCATATGAAATGGAAAGTAAAACAAGTGTGTTTCTGTGGGTTTTTTTTATGCAAACAAATGACAAATTACAAGAAACAATAACTAAACAAGCGTATAGTCAACAAAGTCATCTATATCCCCCTTCCATTTAAACACGTTATGGTCCCAAACCAAGTAACTGACCCAACATTTCTCAAAGCGGTGTTAAACCCAACTCTAACAATCACTCACAAAGCTATACGTATTACCTTCTACTACTGATATCCGCGTCCTCCTGGGGCGGTCGGGTAGCCTAGTGGTTAAAGCGTTAGCTCGTCACGCCGAAGACCGGGGTTCGAATCCCGACATGGGTACACTGTGTGAAGCCCGTTTCTGGTAACCCCCGCCGTGACGCGGAGTCAGTGAATGGGAGAGTATGGTTTTACGCCGCTTTTAGCAATATTCCAGCAATATCACGGCGGTGGGGGTGGGGGTGGAGGAGGGGGTGTGGATGGGGGTGGGGGGGATGGGGGTGGAGGGGTGGGGATGGGGGTGGAGGGGGTGGGGATGGGGTGGGGGTGGGAGGGGGGGTGGGGATGGGAGGGGGGGGGGGGGGGCACCAGAAATGGGCTTCACACATTGTACCCATAACTGGTGCTGTTATCATGTCAAGAACTGAAAAGGAAATCATTATCGAAACTTGGCATGAACTTATATATCTTATTTGCGGGTGGTAATGTCATAGATGCGGTCAGCTACAGTTTTCTGCCCATGTCATCCTCCTTTGGAGCCTGCTTCGTGGCGCGGATGCATTTTGTTGACAAGGCACCTCCGAACGTTAAGACTGTTTAGTACCACTGAAAGCAGTGCGGTTCACTCCGGCCTTGTATTACGACTCTATTTCTAAAATTACTTTCATGAATGGAAATAAGTCGTGTACGTTGATTATTTCTGACATCATATTATAAAGAGATTATCACTGTCGTGTTTCCGTGTCGTAAATATATATTAGGAATAGAAAGAACTAGCATGTTCACCAAAGGCTCGCATAATTAAATTATTATTCCTAATATGTGAAGTTAAAAACACACTCGGCTAATAATCTCTATGAATCTATTATATAATTACCAAGAATTCATTTCAATAATACCAAGAATTCATTTCAATAACGAGGCTATGAACATACGCCAAGCGCCTAAGTTTTGTCACCCTTTTGCATTTCATTTGACATTGAACGAAACTCCGAACCACAATATTCCAAATTAATTGTACTGTTCCAATTCAAGTATCGAGTCCGGCTACCAATACACAGCACCATCCCGTTACCGGCCAGTGTCTACATTGTCCTAGCCTGCTCGAAAGACTTCCTTTGTTGCCCTGGAACAAATATATAGGATCGTTGACCATGATTTCGAAGAATTCTTCCCATCTGACCATAACTCTTCCTGAGAATGGTATCTGCCTCTGCGGTGGTCACCCTGGGTACTGGGCGTGGCGTGATGGGGCAGCTACGGGGGTCATGCATCAGTCTGGACATCCTCCCACCCAGAGCTACACTTGCACTCGTCTCAGCCTCGGGCTTCACTCTCGGAACTGGACGCGACGATAACGGCATACGCCCATAGCTATGGATCAGTCTGTTCATTCGTTTTCCCTTATCGAGTTCTGCAGATTGCTCTGCTTCAGGTTTTACGCGTAAGGGTTGTCTCGGCGTTCTTTCATTTTTGCCATATTTGTGGATGATGTTGTTCATCCGCTTACCTTTACTTACTTCAGCTATTTCTTCGGCTTCGGGTTTGACGCGAGGAACAGCTCGAGAGGACGAGGGCATCATGGCATACTTGTGAACGAGATTATACATCCTTCCTCCTTTGTGAACAGTTGCAGTTTCCTCAGCCTCTGGTTTCACCCTTGCAACTCTAGGCGTAGGTCCGTGTTCCCCGTACTCATGAACAATTACCTTCATCCTCTTGCCTCTACTGACTGTTGCAATACCCTCAGCCTCCGTCTTTATCCTAGGAGGTGCCGAAACAGGCCTAGGTGATGCAGTGCCATTAAGAATAGGGGCTACGTTCCCATTACGTCCGAGATGACAGTTGTCTCTTGAAGCTGATGTCGGGCAGCGAGCTTTTGGCCGGGAGGAGGAGTATCCTGCCAAGCCTTTTCCAAACGCCCATGTCTTGACGACCCCCCACCCCCGGGTGTAGTTGGGGTGACCCTCAGGTTTGACTCTAGGGGCAGGGCGAGGGGTTCTATAGGAACTGTTTCGAACGTCATGCCCTGGGTAGGAGGCACGGTAACTGGTTCGGGGTCGCACAGGCATGTGGACGATCGTAGTTCCTGATGCTGAAACATGTGTTTAAGTATATAAATAACCTTAAGAGTTCACAAAATACAAAGAGGTCGTGATAAGGTGAGGTGAAATTGGGTTTAACGTGGCGTCCAAGATTATTGCAGCTATATAGCGACGTGCATGTACGTGTGTGTGTTTTTGTGTGGCTGCTTGTACTAGTCCGGACTGATGCCGATTTATAGTGATAACTCACTGAGATACCATGCCGCAGTTTAACATGAATACCCCACTCAGACACAGTATACTGACCCCGAGCCGACCAGTCCTGTTTTAGCCCCTTAATGCCGAGCGCCAGACAAGGTTTCAACAAGTACCATCTTTTAACGTCTTTTGGAATGACGCGGCCGGGGATCGAACCCCGGACATTATACTCTCCGGGCGGACGCTCTACCACTAGACCACGGAGATGGTCCAGGTCGGGATGAAGGTGTTCGTAAAAAAACGAACGATGAAGTCAAAACACTCGGCTTAATCTCATAGGGCATCGCGGCCTGAATTGGGAAGAGTGAGTGAGTGAGTGAGTTAGGGTTAACGCCACTATTCAGAGTATTCCAATCAGTTACGTCACGGCGTGTCATCTTAATGTGATAGGAAAGCCCAAAGTGATGCAGGTCTGAGACGTTTGGAGAAACCCACAAGCAATGGTATGGTGCGGTCAAACCTAGAAACATAATCGAGGCGAGCCGGGAGTCGAACCCACACTCATAGGGCATACGTTTCTAGCGTGCCCAAGGGGTGCAACTCTGCAAGGCGAATTGCGGCGCCTTCGACCAGTGAGCCACCCGCGCCTCCTGCATTGGGAAGAATACGTATTGGTAGCGGATTCTCTAGTTCCCGTATTATTTTCACAACATAATATTGCGGAACTGGTGACCACATGGCACTCGATATCAAATGGAATACCTAATATCTATTCACCATAAACAACGATGTTGATTTTGTTTGTCTGGAACTCCCACTTTCAGGAAACACATCCTTATATGAGAGAGCACACAGATGGAGATATGTGCACCATGCCGACTACGTTAAAAAGTATATGCATCCTCAGTCAGATGAAATCACGTTTTTTCTCAATACATCACCAATTGCATGTGCGACTTATAAAATGACCAAATACTGGTTTAAATGTGTTTGTTTGTTGTTTAACGCCGCACTCTAGCATTATTTTAGCGATTTACAGCGGCATATACGTAATTCGGTATGGACCAGACAATCCTGTCGACATTCTGGGGACTGACGAGATGCCAGGATTATCTGTATTAAATCCGAAAGCGAAAGAAAATTCAAGGCTGAATATCACACTAATTTTGTAACCTAAGTGATCACCTTTTGCGTTGACACTAACTCAACCAGATGGTAAAATTGGCATCGATAGTTTCTTTTAGCTCACCTGACATTAATTAGTAGTGGGGCTAAATACATGTTCCGTTTTAGCGACATTTTACGTTTTGACCTTGTTATGACCATGCTCTTGTTTTCTCTGCACATTTCGCTTTAAAGTACTTCTCTGAAATTCCCGGACTTAAGGAGGTATATTAAGGAAGAGCTCTTATTTTGTATAAAAAGATTAGACTTCAGACTTAGTTGGTATTCCTCCGCAGTTATGAAGAACATACGTGCTTGAAATCAATGCTGACAACTTTCTCTTTGTGGACATTTCAAACTTTTTACTGCATATCCAGGTGAGCTTCAGTATTATGGCATTGTGTATCTTACTGTCTCCATACTGACGAATGTACCATTCACCAGTTCAGTTCAACAGTATTGCTTGCATACAATGGCACAGTGTATGGTGCAGTGTATTGTCACAAGGGTCAAGCAATGTTCCCTTTGTTTTAAACTCTACACGTCGCGCTGTAAGCGCAATACTCTTGAACTCGACGTCAAACTCCATTTCACATTCACCTTGTCTTAAACTCAGTTTAACAAGTAGAGTGATGGCTAAAGACATTATGTGTGACAATTTAACTCTAATTCGGGGCGGTCGGGTAGCCTCGAGGTTAAAGCGTTCGCCCGTCACGCAGAAGACCCGGGTTCGATTCCCGACATGTGTGAAACCCCTTTCTGGTGCCCCCCGCCGTGGTATTGCTAAAAGCGGCGTAAAAACATACTCACTCACTAATTCCACAAAAGTCCTGTTCAGCACATGTGTACATTGGACAAACAAAATGAATGTTGATAAGCCTATATCGATTAGTTTGCTGTTACACGACACATCAGATTGCCCGTATGTTGGAAAGGTTCTCAAGAGGTTATCAGCCCTGACAATCACGGTATTGCAACTCTTATAAATGTTTTACACTTTCGATAGAAACTACGCCCATATTTAGTATCAGTAAAAATAAATGTCCGGTTACCAGGACCACACTGTTACAAGGCCTGTTATGCCTACATGAGGTGTTTAATGGGCAACTTTTCAAGGTATTCGGACATCAGGCTAGCTTGTCATTATGCCTGAATGCATAATATATATCATCCTGTCTCGCCTGGTAATATGCAATAAAATAGTAACAGGTATGTCTTTCACTATTGTGAATGAGTGAGCCTTTACGCCGCTTTTATCAATAATCCAGCAATATCACGGCGGGGGACACCAGAAATGGGCTCGGCACATTGTACCATTGTGGGGAATCGAACCCGGGTTTTCCGCTTGACGAGCAAACTTTTTAACCACAAGGCTACCCCACCGCCCCTTTGTTATCGTTGACGCCGTGATACAACTGAAATACTGTCAAAACGACGTAAAATGCAACTCACTCACTCAAATAGTTTGTTCTGGATACAGACCGAAAAAATAACATTACCTGCAACATAAAATGCAATGCAATAAAACGTAGCCTGGACCTGCAACATAAAATGCAATACAATAAAACGTAGCCTGGAAATCGAAAATGTATCTACATGTCCATATTTCGGAGTACAGATGCACAACATTATGGAGAAAGTAACATCCATTTATTTACCATTCTTTGTTGACAAGCTCCACACAAGCGTTAAACAACAAACAAACAAACAAACAAACAAACAAACATACACAGTCAGTCAGTCACGTTGACAAAGCGTTATAAAACATTGACCCGATCTACGGGTCGGGAGATATTTCCAAAGTGCTTGCTCTAATTGTTTAGCGATTAAGAGGATCAATTTGCCGTTCATTTAAAGGCGGTGTCGTGTATGTGCTGAAGTAAATTCCTGGGTTACTGAAGCATGCCAGCTTATGCGCGGAGACGACCGTTTTAGTGTGAACGCGATTTGCCTCCCTCACTATATCACCGACACACCCTTAGATAAATGAAATACTGGTCTCTCGGTAGTCTGTCTTTCAGACCCTGATACAAATATATATCAAATACAGCCCATGCAAGTCTATAATGTTTGGCAAGTCTAGATTACTGCAGTATCCGAAAATGAAGAGTCACTGGTCTCCCTTTTATTATATTTATATTAAGATAACTGAACAACTTTTTTTCTGTACGATATGTTCATTTCAGAGACTAGATGTAAGTCTAGTCTCTCGGTTTCACTTCATAAGCCACCCTTATCAAAATAGTGTGGGTTGAACAACAAGGTGATTTCGTCAATCTCGAGGCGCTATGGGGGACCGCATTATGTACTCAGATTATCAAAATATACTGACGGGAAAAAATAACTGTGCTTCACATAACGTTCCATGAAAAAATATATTCTGAAATTAATATAAACAATGCATCTTGCAATACATATTCATGAAGTTATCACCTCGACTATATGGGCGTGATTCACAAATTTTATGTTATGCAAGGCGTACAATTTGGATATATGCGTGTTTGTTTTGAGCATGATACTCACACACGTGGTGTTTGAATATGAACAGCCCACAGTAATTATACTTTAGTGATCAGGCACTTCCATGGCTTGCTTAAAAAAGAAAAAAAAAAGAAATGGCGCAAAACGAACTTGCCAGACATTTTAATGTTCGTCGAAACACCATATCATCTCTTTGGAGACGTTATATACAGCACGTCAACGCTCATGACTTGCTACGGGCCGGTCGTCCACGTGTGACGTCACGTCAAGACAACCATATTCGGTTGGTGCATCTAGAGATACCAAACTGTCACATTAATATGAAAGCTCGGACAATTGCGACCAATTACATGAAGTGGCAGAACCGTACACAACCGATTTGAGGGCGCACAACATCCGGCCCCGATGCCCAACGATACGCCCAATTTTGCTTCCACGTCACAGTCAGGCACGCCTATTTTGGTGTAGACAGAAACTGAGGTTCAGAAGATAAGACATAGGCGGTATACTGAGTTCAGGGTTTATCTGGACAGTTCTGATGGCCGTGCAAGGCTGCACAGGCGCCCAGGGGGACGTTTTAGTGACGCTTGCGTTAATCAACGTCGTCAGTTTGGTGGTGGAAGTGTATAAGGTTGCCTGAAAACACATTCTCCTTTTTGTTAATGAGAAGGGGCGGTGGGGTAGCCAAGTGGTTAAAACTTTCGCTTGTCACGCCGAAGACCGTGTTCGATTCCCTACATGGATACAATGTGTGAAGTTCTTTTCTAGTGTCCCCTGCCGTGATATTGCTGGAATATTGCTAAAAGCCCAATATAACCATACTCACTCACTGTTAATGACGACCGCCTCCGTGGTCTAGTGGTAGAGCGTCCGCCCGGAGAGCGGAGGGTCTGGGATTCGATCCCCGGCCGCGTCATACCAAAAGACGTTAAAAGATGGTACTTGTTGTTAACCTGTCTGGCGCTCGGCATTAAAGGGCTAAAACAAGGACTGGTCGGCTCGGAGTCAGTATACTGTGTCTGAGTGGGGTATTCATGTTAAACTGCGGCATGGTATCTCAGTGAGCTAGCACTATAAATCGGCATCAGTCCGGACTAGTACAAGCAGTCACACAAACACACACACATACGTACATGCACGTCGCTATATAAGTGCAATAATCTTGGACGCGACGTTAAACCCCATTTCACCTCACCTCACCTCTAAATAACATTGTGTATTCATAGAGTGGCGAAGCCTGTTATGTGCACACAAGGGTAGTAACAACAATCATCGGTGAAGTCAGTGACGTAATTATAATAAAGAAGTTGTTCATCCATAAATTCTTATCCTTACTTAGTACTCCAACTTCGAAATGCCTATCAAAGACGTTACATCTTTGTTCTTTAAGTGGCTTCTTTCAGTGGCATTTAGTAGTTGATGTGATGAAGAAAGACAAGTTCTATGGATGAACAACTTCTTTATTACAATTAGTGCGACGTTTCGGGGTAGATCATAACACCTTTATCAAGCAAGTGATGGATAGTGCTGGACAACATAAGTATATATACTTATTAACATCAATGTTGATACAGTAAACTGATAAATGGACACAGAGAGCTGACTAAGATGATTGGAAGCCAGTGATTGACTAATGGGGCAGGGTAAACAACCACGGAAGCTGATTGGGATGGTTGGTTAGGATCTACACCGAAACGTCGCACTAATTGAAATAAAGAAGTTGTTCACCCACTCAGCCACCGAGGCTTCCACGAGATGAAAGTCCGACAACTGGTGGTCTAGATCACGTACTTTGGGTACCCCTCTGACAAGTGTAAATTGTGTAATTCTCCACTCTAGTATAACTACTCTACTGTATAAACATTGCCTCCTACCTGTATATATAGTTGCAACTAATTTTTCCTTTCTTTTTTTTAATATATTTTAAATGTACCATTATGTAATTAGTGTCTCGTAGGCCAACTGGACGGGTGCTGTTTTTTAATGAAATGTTTATATGTCCATATATTTAGTACTGCAGCATGTGACACTTTAATAAAACAATTTTCTTCTTCTTCTTCTTCTTCTTCTTCTTCTTCTATATACTTGTCAACCATACTCTGTATATCACTTGCTTGATAACGGCGTTAGAACCTACCCCGAAACGTCGCTCTTAATTGTAAAAAAGTTGTTCAGCCATAAATTCTTATCCTTACTTTAAAAAGATGTATTTCATGCATTAAAAAATCCGAGGCAGAAGAAGGTAGACAGGGCGTCGGCCTGATCGTCGTGATCGTCGTGATCGTCGTGATCGTTGAAATTGCGTAGCGCGTCAAACACCAGTTCAGTTTTATTTCTCTGAAAAACCACCAACGGTGGTACAAGAGTATATATATATATATAACATATAATATACAATGCAGATCAAGATGGTAACAAGCCTAAAATAAATAGAAATTAAGCAAATAAAGTAATAAAAATAATCATCATCATCAAAAGAAATAAAATTAGACACCTTAACGCAATAATGAGTTCAAATTTATGATGAATCTGGACAGATGTTTCAAAGTGGATATATTTTTAGGTGATAACGTTTTACGCAATTTACACATATTTGGCCAGATATAACAATTCTGTGGGATGTAGAGAAGTAGAGAAGACCAGGATCCCCTTTTAACCCCATCAAGCGGGGTATCCCTTAGTGGCGGGGTGTTTCGTTAGGGAGACGATTTCCGTTGTCGTTTTTTTATCGTCTGTTTTACGCTGTTTCCGTTTTTCAATTTTAATTTTGGTCAGGCATTTGTGATGTATCTTGTAAAGCATTAAAATCTGCAAAGTTGCTATATTGACTTAACGTATCCTTAAAGCAACCCATCTTTTATGGCGTCTTCCTCCGTCTGCTGTTACCAGGTATGGGATATCTTGTCAATTACAACGTTATGATAGAACAGTTGTCATAGCGACTGATTTACGACATCCATTGTCTGAAAAACATTTGATTGCAAAGGCTCATTACCCTGGAGCCATGACATCTATATGCCTTGAAACACTTAATTGCTGTTATTTATAAGATGCTAATCCTAATTGTTAATCCCCATTTTTGTGTACATCGACCGTCTGCCATCCTGCTGATGAATTACTGTTATATTTATTACTTACTAAATGTCAGGTGACCTTGGCTATATAAGCCTTGGTCCAGAGAGATTGAGAAGTTTGTACTCCAAGCTAGCAACACCTCTCCAGCCTACGAAGCAACCCAAGCCATCCAGCCACCAAGCCAACCTCACCCAGCAAAGCCTCCCAAGCCAGCACAGTTCCACTGATAGCCAGCCCAAGAGCAACACATCGGTAATTATCACAACACACCCATACAATCTAGGTTAAAACCACTCACACACAAGCCCACTTAAAACACCAAACCCTCAAACCCTCTAGTTACTACCAAAACACACCCTTTCAAACTTAGGCCAAAGGTAACTCACCCCAAGCCCACTTAAAACACCAACTCTCCAAAATCTCCTAGCTAAACAAACTAACTCACCAGCCAAAACCCAAATAGCGTAGAAGCCAGCCAAACACTACTCACCCAGTCACCCACTCTACACACAAAGCCCCCTCTTAAGCCCAGCTCACTCTCCTCCCCCAAACCAAAACCTACAAACCTACAACAGCTACACTACCACAGACATGACCGACACACGCATTATCACCCAGGCAGACATCCACTGCACAGACACACCCACACCATCGGAGGCCCACAACACCTCCGATCGGACACCTGAAACCCTCATCCCGCACGAATTCGGAAAGCAAACCACAGTCGCTTCTCCCACCAAAACTCCGGATTCGCCTGCAACCACAACAAACCCAAAGAAACGGAAGCTAAATGCTTCAAACACAACACCTGCATCACCTTCCACCCCCGCATCTATAGTCACCTTCGCCCTCTACTTCTGCGCGGCTGGCCCCATAAACATCCTAAGTAAGGTACTCTCCGCCAATAAAGTAGGATCATTCTTTAAAAAACAACAAATACTCTTCGATAAAATCAGGGAAGCCCACAAAGGATTTCAGATCAT